CATTCCCATCCGGATGGGGCCTCCCAGCTCCTGCAGCCCTTCCCTACGGATCCCAGGGCATGCCAGAGACATGAGGAAAAGCTTTCCCCTGTTACTCACCCGGTCCTGTTTCGCAGGAGACGGGGAACTGGCGTAGCGTGACCAGCTCCTTGCTGGCGAACCCCGACTCATGGACCCACCAGAATGGGCGCTCCCCAAATAAGAACCTGGTGGGGAGAGAAACCACAGGGCAGTGAACACCTGAACGCAGCCCAATGCCTTCACCGCCCATCCCTGTGGATCCGAGGGCTGAAGCCGGCAACGGGAGGGCAGGATTCCTGCCAGTTCTTATGGCTCCCGGGCTTGTTTCTGCTGTGAATGCCTGACAGATGTGTTATTGTGGCTTGGGTGACCTGCAAAACTCCACAGGCTTTCAATGTGGTGCAGCAGAGGAGCAGCACGTCTCAGCCTGTCGAGTGGAGCCTGCGGTTGTGTTTCCACACAACCCTGTGTATCCACCGCTCAGCCCTCGGGGCATCACCAGCTATGACAGGGACCCTGTGACTCCTGGCTCTCCCCTCACCATTTGAGGACCACGTTGAGCCACTCTGACACCAGGCCGATCCACAGCACCGACACCCCCACCTTGCGGTCGAGAAAATAGGCGAGAGGGAAACAGATGGTGAAGACGCATTTAGGATCGGCCAGGGAGGTCACAGAGATCCAGAACTTTTCCAGCCAGGGTGGCCCGGACTGCAGCGCCTCTGCGAAGTGGATCCCGGCAGTGTGCAGGGCATCCATCGTGCTGGGCTGGAGGGAGAGAGGAAGCGTTAGAGTTCAGGCCTTGGCACAGAGCCCGCTTGACAGGCAGAGGCCTTGGGACGTGGCTCCCTGGGGCAGGTGTCATGCTGTGGCCGGCTCCTGTGCTCACTGTGACCCTGCGGGATGCCTTTGGCACGTGATGTCAGCGCTGGCACAGCCTCAGGGAGCCGTTTGCAACCCGAAGTTTGACCGTGAAGGACTCTCGACCTTTGCATCCCACCCCTGGCTTGACAGCTCCCGGCGCTGCAGATAGCCGCAGTGGGGATGGCAGTGCTGGGCAACATCGCCACATGCCACAGGGCCATCTGCTGAGGGCCAGCGCTGGGCAGGGCCAAGACTGACGGGTGCTCTGCGCTGATCTGGTGTGGGCACATCCTGGAGGCCTCAATGTGGGGTTTGCCAGAGCAGCCAGGCTGCCCTGAAGAGCCCTGGCCTCCCTAGGGCTGGCATGGGACCTCCCTGGGGCCTCCCTGGAGCAGGCCCGGGATCTCCCTGGAGAAGGCCTGGGGTCTCCCTGGAGAAGGCCTGGGGTCTCCCTGGAGAAGGCCTGGGGTCTCCCTGGAGAAGGCCTGGGGTCTCCCTGGAGAAGGCCTGGGGTCTCCCTGGAGAAGGCCTGGGGTCTCCCTGGAGAAGGCCTGGGGTCTCCCTGGAGAAGGCCTGGGGTCTCCCTGGAGAAGGCCTGGGGTCTCCCTGGAGAAGGCCTGGGGTCTCCCTGGAGAAGGCCTGGGGTCTCCCTGGAGAAGGCCTGGGGTCTCCCTGGAGAAGGCCTGGGGTCTCCCTGGAGAAGGCCTGGGGTCTCCCTGGAGAAGGCCTGGGGTCTCCCTGGAGAAGGCCTGGGGTCTCCCTGGAGAAGGCCTGGGGTCTCCCTGGAGAAGGCCTGGGGTCTCCCTGGAGAAGGCCTGGGGTCTCCCTGGAGAAGGCCTGGGGTCTCCCTGGAGAAGGCCTGGGGTCTCCCTGGAGAAGGCCTGGGGTCTCCCTGGAGAAGGCCTGGGGTCTCCCTGGAGAAGGCCTGGGGTCTCCCTGGAGAAGGCCTGGGGTCTCCCTGGAGAAGGCCTGGGGTCTCCCTGGAGAAGGCCTGGGGTCTCCCTGGAGAAGGCCTGGGGTCTCCCTGGAGAAGGCCTGGGGTCTCCCTGGAGAAGGCCTGGGGTCTCCCTGGAGAAGGCCTGGGGTCTCCCTGGAGAAGGCCTGGGGTCTCCCTGGAGAAGGCCTGGGGTCTCCCTGGAGAAGGCCTGGGGTCTCCCTGGAGAAGGCCTGGGGTCTCCCTGGAGAAGGCCTGGGGTCTCCCTGGAGAAGGCCTGGGGTCTCCCTGGAGAAGGCCTGGGGTCTCCCTGGAGAAGGCCTGGGGTCTCCCTGGAGAAGGCCTGGGGTCTCCCTGGAGAAGGCCTGGGGTCTCCCTGGAGAAGGCCTGGGGTCTCCCTGGAGAAGGCCTGGGGTCTCCCTGGAGAAGGCCTGGGGTCTCCCTGGAGAAGGCCTGGGGTCTCCCTGGAGAAGGCCTGGGGTCTCCCTGGAGAAGGCCTGGGGTCTCCCTGGAGAAGGCCTGGGGTCTCCCTGGAGAAGGCCTGGGGTCTCCCTGGAGAAGGCCTGGGGTCTCCCTGGAGAAGGCCTGGGGTCTCCCTGGAGAAGGCCTGGGGTCTCCCTGGAGAAGGCCTGGGGTCTCCCTGGAGAAGGCCTGGGGTCTCCCTGGAGAAGGCCTGGGGTCTCCCTGGAGAAGGCCTGGGGTCTCCCTGGAGAAGGCCTGGGGTCTCCCTGGAGAAGGCCTGGGGTCTCCCTGGAGAAGGCCTGGGGTCTCCCTGGAGAAGGCCTGGGGTCTCCCTGGAGAAGGCCTGGGGTCTCCCTGGAGAAGGCCTGGGGTCTCCCTGGAGAAGGCCTGGGGTCTCCCTGGAGAAGGTTTTGGTGGACTGAGTACCGCTGTACTGGGGGGGGGAAATGGAGTGTCCTGCAGGGCGGTTTTGGGGGACAGTGAGGAGCTGTGTGCTGGGGTTACTGAGGGGGGGAGTGGGGTGCCCTACAGGGAGGTTTTGGGAGGGAATGAGGATCCCCATAGTGGAGTTTGCGTGTAGGGGAGTGAGGTGCCATATAAGGGGGTTTTGGAGGGGGCATTGAGGAGCCCTGTATGGGCTTACTGGGGGGGGGCAGTGGGGCACCATATAGGGAGGTTTTGGGGGGAGCAGCGAGGAACCCTTTACTGGGATTACTGGTGGGGGAATGGGGTGTGCTATAGGGAGGGTTTTGGGGGTGTGGGTCACCCTGTAGGGTTG